TATGTTTTGCATGTGTATAATTAGCATCATTTAGTATTTTATTAGGCCTGAATCAATTTGGCAGGGTTGAGTATGTTTTGGGAGATGAGGTAGGAGTAATTTCGTTGATGAATTAATTTTTCGAAGATTTTTGAGAGAGGGAGTAAGTTGGATATTGGCCTTTAGCTATTCAACTATGTTTGTCTCCTCCTTTATGGATCGGGGTGGGACCCTTGCTATTTGAGAATAGTAGGGGTGGAGGATTCAATGGATTTGTTAAAGAGTGTTGCCAATGATTGGTGATAGCACTTGTGACACTCTTTTGTATATAAAGGGTGTAAGGTATTTAAAATCTCCTGCCTTGTTTTTTAGTGCGTTGATAAAAGGGAGACTTAGTATGGGTTAGTCGGAGCTAGGAAACAGTGTGTTCGGGTGGTTGCCAGTGAGGTAGCCATTTGGTGGGGTATCTGAGCTTGGGAATTTTATTGGCAAGGTTTTAGTCCTATTGTGAAGAAGAAATTCATCTGAGTCTGTTTGCTGTTTCTGTTGGTGGGAGTTGGGGTTCATCTGTTTTTGCTATTTTATTTCGCTATTTCGTGATATCTTTTTGTTCCAGAATTTCTTGATAGGGTTTTTCCAGGTCTTTTTTATATCACCTCGTAAGTTGGATAATCTGATTATCATAATTCATTTTTTTTTGCCCTTCTTATCAGGCTGGTTAGGGATGATGCGTAACGTTTTGTTTGTTTTTGTACTCTGGTTATGGACACATTCTGTACTGTTTTTCATATCGGTGTTTTGTATTTATGGATTTGAGAATCCTGGGTGTTTGACAGGGACTGTTCAGTCTCTTAGCTGTCAATCTGTTTAGTTTTTTCGGGCAGTAGTGCTGTTTATAGAGGTATTGGGTCTTTTTTAGAAAATTATTAATAATTCGTCAATATCTGTATAGATTTCTAGCTCAGTGTGCCAGTCATTGTTTGTTACTGCTGTGTGAAGTTATTAATGGCTGCTCATAGTGAAGTCTGATTGTGACTTATGTAGTGTCTTGGGGTATTTACCAAGAGTTGTTATGAGGAAGTAGGGTAGTGGTTCGTGTATTATCTGTAATTTTGCCTGATTTTATAGGGATATAGTGTTGGTCCAGGATGTGGTTCATGTTGGAAACAATAGTTCTGTATCTCTTGTTGGTTTGTAACTGATGGTAGTAACATACAGTTAATCATTAGTGTTTGTGATTTCAGTAATGTGTGGGTCTGGTCTTGTAGGAGATTTATATGAGTCACTGAGAGTAGCAAGTGATCTTTGTCAGTGTGCATCAGTTATCATACTTCCTGGTTGTCACTATATTGGCTAAGGTTTGTTGTGGAACTCTGTAGATGTTTATCACTGTGGAGGTTTATGTAGGTATTTGGATTTGAATTAGCTATTATATATTCCCATGTTCATCCCTTGTCGCAAGTATTCAGTGATACATTCTAGTTGTGTCTGAGCAGTATATAGATGTGCCACCCCCTGTTGGTATGGACATACAGTTGTTGTATGGCTGTGTAACCAGGAATGGCATAGACATCTGTTAGTATCAGGCTTTAGCCAGTTTCAGTTAGGTGTAATGATGGACTATTGGCATGCAAGGAATTTAGTAATTGCTAGGAGTATTCGTAATGCTTGCTTAAAGATCTGATATTGTAGTTAAAGATAGTTTTTTGTTGTTGTTGGCTTGAGAAGTGCCTTTGATTGTTCTTGCTGTGTTGTAATTACAGTTAAACTGTTTGATTCATTAATGTCATTAAATAAGAGGTTGGTATCAGGATCAGCTTGTATAATCATAAGATTTGTAGTGAATCTATAGTTAGAATTATGTAGAAAACAAAGTAAATAGTCTAAAGCTAAAAAAATAGACCCGAGTTATTTAACAATGTAAAAAATAATGAGCCTAAGGTAGTTTTTTTTTTTTTTTTAAGCTAAAATTAAGGAGACATATAAAAGGGATAATACAATGTAGTGATGAACAAATAATGGAGCTTGGAATATGATAGTAGGTAGTACTTTATAGGGTAAATCTTTAAAGTTAGAATTATAATATAAATTATAATATAAAAGGACTAATATAAGTTGTGGGTGGACAATAAAGTGGTAATCAAACAATGGCTTTGGAATATACTGGCAAAATAGTGAACTTATTGACCACTTTAGGCACCTGCGAGAATAGGCACCTTGATTATTTTAACAATTGTGATATATGGAACTAAGGTTGTTATATAAAGCTAAAATAAAGGAAAAATATATAAGGGGACTAAAATTAAGTAATGGTAAAACAAAGTTAAATTGGACAGTAGTCACTATGAATATTATTGGTTTAGGGTAAGATCTGATTTTAATATTAAATAAGTTGAGCAGTTTATTGACATAAAGTAAAAAAATGAGGGAGATGGTAATAGCTAGCCAAAAGATAGTTTTAGGTACTTGCATAAAAGTAATTGGAGTATACACTAGGTGCACACACAATAAAAGTGACTAAAAAACAAGTAGTGTAAACAAAATAAATGGAAGGTAAGTACAATGAATAATATTAATTTGGAGTAAGATCTGACTGTAACTTAAAATTTGAAGCATTTTATAGCAGTAAGAAAGAAGTATAAAGTATTGGAGGTAGTTGGCATTAGCTAGTGGATGTAAATATAAAAAATAATACTGTCTCAATATAATAGTAGGTTTACACTATATGCACCACACATATATGTATTAAGGCACTTATTCTAAATCTGTTACAGAAATGTCAGCTTTCTAAGGAAGTAGAGATATCTTGTTCATCTTGAGATAGTATATTGTGTCCTGTGATGTTTTCCTCACTAGTATTTTCATGCCGCATTGAAAACACGATGTTTTTTTTTTCCTGTTCAGTTTTTCTCAGCCTGAACAGAAGGTTTTGACGTTTTCTTGTTAGACACTCATTTATGTACACTCCATTTTTCACTGTAAATGCTCATTTAATTAGGTCCTTTCTTTTATCGTATGAATGAAGTCGGATCATTATACTGTGTTTTACTTCCTGGTATACCTACGTCCCACACGTGATTCTTTGATTTCATTGTTTTGCACGATGACTTGTATGTGGTCCTGTATTATCCTGACAGCAGTTTCTTTGCACTGTGCTTGTTGAAAAAGGAGTTTTATTTTTTGAATGAGAGCATTAAACACAACATGCGATTAAGCGGACAATTAGTGATTATTTTGTTATAATTTTTAATTATTATTAATATTACTATTTGTACATCTAGGTATATAACCATTATGACTCTTGCATCTCCCCATGTCACCACATATATCACCATCACTATATATCTTTCACTATCACTATTCATCACATATATCATCATTATATATCTTTCATTATCACTATTCATCACATATATCATCATTATATATCTTTCATTATCACTATTCATCACATATATATCACCATCACTATCTTTCACTATCACTATTCATCACATATCACCATCACTATATATCTTTCACTATCACTATTCATCACATATACCACCATCACTATATATCTCACTATCACTATCACATATATCACCATCACTATACATCTTTCACTATTGCTATTCATCACATATATATCACCATCACTATATATCTTTCACTATCACGTCATCACATATATATCACCATCACTATATGTCTTTCACTCACTATTCATCACATATCACCATCACTATACATCTTTCACTATCACTATTCATCACATATATCACCATCACTATACATCTTTCACTATCACTATTCATCACATATATCACCATCACTATATATCTTTCACTATCACTTCATCACATATATATCACCATCACTATAATCTTTCACTATCACTTCATCACATATATATCACCATCACTATATATCTTTCACTATCACTTCATCACATATATATCACCATCACTATATATCTTTCACTATCACTTCATCACATATATCACCATCACTATAATCTTTCTCTATCACTTCATCACATATATATCACCATCACTATATATCTTTCACTATCACTATTCATCACATATATCACCATGACTATACACAAGGGCAGAACAACAACATTCTAGTGGGCACTATATTTCTCATATATTTTATTTTTATCATTATTATGGCTAGACGTTATATAAATATTATTAGCTGATCCAAGAGTTATAATATCTTCTAAAGACTTAAGTATGGATTCTTATACAAAAGAGATGTACCTCGTGGTATTAGCCACTTTATTTATTTTTGTTGGTGTATGGTGCTTTTTTGACGAGTGGGTCCAGGAGCTGGAAGTGGACCGCACTCAACTCCAACAGGAGGTCCAGGAAGCCTCCTGGGCTTGTGAATCATTAGCTGAGAGGATGTGTGGGATCCCTGGGATGGGGATAATTGTTAATTGTGATAGGTATACCCCCTTAGAGGTCCCTGGAAGCCAGGTGAGCCCTTGGTGGGCACCAGACTCCTGGTCTCTTCTGGGAATCATCTTTAGATGGTACCAAGCCAGCAGCGATGTTAAGGAGCTGGAGATTGTCATCAAGGAGATTAAGGAGTCCTGCCAGGATAATTCATCCTCCCAGCAGATGCTGGTTCTTCTGCGGGTCATTGTGACAGTCCTAGGGGTACTGTACTTCATTCTGCAATGCTTCCGTAGGATTATTCGGAAGATACTAATAGTATCCAGCAGCAGTAACACAGTGGTGAGTGCTGAGCTGGTACCTGCTACTGCTGATGATGCTGGTACCTCATAGCCCCTCCCCAACCCCATTACCCTCCCCAACCCCATTACCCTCCCTAACCCTATTACCCTCCCCAACCCCATTACCCTCCCCAACCCCATTACCCTCCCTAACCCCATTACCCTCCCCAACCCCATTACCCTCCCCAACCCCATTACCCTCCCCAACCCAATTTCCCTCCCCAACCCCATCACCATCCCCAACCCTACAGGGTATGGAGTTTTTGTAGCCAATGTACCCACCTTGTGCAGGTACATGACCGTAAAACGGCTTCTGCAAAAATCCGGCGGTTTAATCCAATTAACGATGCCAAGAGGAGACAAAGGCCATCGGGGGTATGGCTTTGCAACATTTAAAAATAAGGATTATGAAAAACAAGCGCTTATGTTGAATGGCCATGTCCTCTCGGGTCCAAAAGGCGAGAATCCACAAAAAATGGAGGTGAAGCCAGCCTACAAGCAAATATTCCACGATGATGCAAAACCCCATATAAAACCACCAGTTGATGGTACTTCCCAACATGGAAAACCACTAGTTCATGGTACTTCCCAACACCATGGAAAACCACTAGTTCATGATACTTCACAACATGGAAAACCACCAGTTCATGGTACTTCCCAACATGGAAAACCACCAGTTCATGGTACTTCACAACACCATGGAAAACCACCAGTTCATGGCACTTCCCAACACCATGGAAAGCCACCAGTTCATGGTACTTCCCAACACCATGGAAAACCACCAGTTCATGGCACTTCCCAACACCATGGAAAGCCACCAGTTCATGGTACTTCCCAACACCATGGAAAACCACTAGTTCATGGCACTTCCCAACACCGTGGAAAACCACCAGTTCATGGTACTTCCCAACACCATGGAAAACCACCAAGTTCATGGTACTCCCAACACATGGAAAACCACCAGATCAAAGGTACTCTCCACAACACCATGGAAAACCACCAGTTCATGGTGACTTCCACAGCGCCATGGAAAACCAACCAGTTCATTGTACTCACAACACCATGGAAACCACCAGTTCATGTACTCCCACAACACCATGAAAAACCACCAGTTCAAGTACTCCACTACACCAAGGAAATCCACCAGTTCATGGTAATCACAACACCATGGAAAACCACCAGTTCAGTGGTGCAAAATGCAGCAATGGTGAGAAGCAACCCTTGCAGCAGCCCCTCCAGACCAGGCCTCCAAGCTACCAAGTTTAAAGATTCAAACATGAAAGCCACCAGTCCCAGCAACTGGTTTGATTCCTAAGACTATTAAATTCAGTGAAGTGTTTTTTATTTAATTTATTTATTTATAATTACATACATACAGTTACCAAAAATACAGGTAAAGAGCAGCAATGCCAACGCCACTTATATGCATAGCCATAAGGGGCTGGCCTTTAAAATTAACTTAAGATTAAATTAGCATATGATGAAATCCAGTGATAAGACAATAAATGTAAAACAGATTAACTATAAGCAGAAATGAGTATTACAAAGACAGGTCATATGGTTGCATGCATTGCTTGTACATTCAGTCTATGGGAGTATTCTGATTTGTAGTGTTTTTAAAAAATAATAAAGTTATATAGTGGTTTTAGTTAACATTTATGTGATATAATTGTAGAAACATTTAAGATATAACAATTTATAATGTTCCATTATCAGTAGTTATGTGGTTTTTGGGTGAGTTAATGATCTTGAAAGAGACGTTGCATTATAAACAGGTAGTGTATCTTTAATATTTTTACAGGTAATGAATTCAGATTTTAGGGCCTTTTATGTGCAATGAGCTTTTGCAAAGCAGAGAATGGATACAAGAACATCAAAAGAGTGATCAGTGTCTTGTGTATGGTCATGTGTTCTGTTGAGGTTGGCAAAGAGATGTTTGAGGGGAGAGTTAATATCCAGTTAAGTGTTATCTATGTATGTACTAAGGTATGCCAATAATAAGTTTGATGTTATGTATGGTGAGTAGTTGAGTGTTTTTTTCTTTGAAATATTGGAGTGTGTGCGCCTGTAGTGAAATTTGTTATCATTCCTAACTGCAGCCTTTTGTTGTAATTAGTGGTCTGAGATTGCTTAAACTTTTGGTTGAGCCCCATGCACAAATTCCATAGGTGAGATAGGGTTAAATGAGAGAGAGATATAGGCCAGGAGGCTGACTGGTGACATAGTACCGTATCTTGATAGTATGCCTCAGTCTTGGAAATTTCTTAGAATATGTTGTATATGTGTATGAAAATTTTGATCCTTTATCAAGTGGATTCCTAAAATTTCCAATCTGTTTAGCTTGTGATAGGTGATCCATTTATCATTATGTTAAAAGGGACATCTGTACTCTGTACCAAACTGAATGAAGTATGGTTTTGGTGCAATTTTAGTTAATTGAATGTTAGACCTCATCCAGGAGGATAATTACTGTAATTCGTATATACATAATGGCTAGCGAGACTGCTCGGGTGAGAAACGACTAATGTAGTGAGATCAGCAAGTAGTGTGGATTTGAGTAATTGCGGCAGCAATAGGTAGGTCCCCATATATGTATAGGAGACAGAGAAGATGGCCAATGACACTACCCTGTGGTACACCAACTGTAATTTGGATTAGTGCGAAGAGTTTGCCCCCATTTGAGTACACATATTTGCATTCTGTGCTGCGGTATGACTAGGTAGTTGAGGGAGTGCCCACTTATACCATATTGTGACAATTTATACCCCGTGGAGCAAGTCAGGTCAACTTATCAAAAGCCTTTATGTAAAGACAATGAAGATCCCCTAGTGGGACTTCTATTTCTCTATTGCATGTATATATGTTCTAGCATGTGTATAATACAACATTAGTAATTTTTATTAGCCTGAATCCAAAATTGGCAGGGTTGAGTATGTTTGGGGAGATGAGGTAGGAGTAATTTCGTTTATGAATTAATTTTTCGAAGATTTTGAGAGAGGCGAAAGTTGGATATTGGCCTATAGTTATTCCAACACGGTATTGGTCTCCACCTTTATGTATCGGGTGACCCATGTATTTTTGAGAACTGTAGGAAAGGTGAGGAGAAACAATGATTTGTTAAAGAGTTTATGCAAAGGATAGTGATAAGCACTTGTGACACTTTTTTTTGTATAAAAGGGTGGTAAGGTATATAAATCTCCTGCCTTGTTTTTTTTAGTGCGATGATAATAAAGGGAGACTTCGTATGGCTGAGTCGAGCAAGTGAACGGAGTGTGTCGGTAGTTGCCAGTGAGTTAGTCATATGGTGGGTATCAGACTGGGAATTTAATTGGCAAGGTTTTTTGGTCCTATAGTGGAGAAGAAATCTTAAGTCTCTTTTGCTGTTTATGTAGGAAGGAGTTGGGTTTCATCTGATTTTGCTAATTTTATTTCGCCTATTTTTCGGTGATATACTATTTTGTTCCCAAGAATTTCTGGATAGGGTTTTCGCAGTCTTTTTATATCACCACTCGTAATTGGAATAATCTGTCTCAATAATACAATTTTTTTTGCCCCTACACATCAGGCTGGTTAGGATTGATGAGTAACGTTTTGTTTTGGACTCTGGTTATGTACCATTCTGTACAGTTTTTCATATCGGAGTATTGTATTTATTGATTTGAGATCCTGGGTGTTAGCCAGGGTCTGTTCATTCCCTCTTACTGTCATCTGTTTTTTAGTTTTTTCGGGCAAAGTGCATGTTATAGATGTATTGGTCTTTTTTTTTTAGAAATTATTATACATTCGTCAATATCTGTAATAATTTCTACTCAGTGTGCCAGTCAATAGTTTGTTACTGCTGTTGTATTTATTAATAGGCTGCCTCATTGTGAAGTCAGCATGTGACTTAAGTAGTTGTCTGGGGTAATATACCAAGAGTTGTTATGATGAAAGATAGGAAGTGGTCTGTGGAATTATCTGTAATAATGCCCTGATTTTAAAGGGGAATAGTGATGGTCCAGATGTGTCAAGTAGGAAACACTTAGTCCTCTGTAACTCCTTGTAGGTTTTTGTTAATTCTGTTGTAGTAACATACAGTTATCATTGTGTGTGTAGAATTCAGTACTGTGGGTCCTGGTACTTGTAGGAGATTATATTGAAGTCCACCTGATAGTAGCAAGTGTATTTTTGTTCATGGTGCATCAGTATCATACCATCCTAGGTTTTCCACTAAAATTGGCAATTGTTTTGATTGTGGACCTCTGTAATGTTTATCACTGTGAGAGGTTTTTTGTAGTTATATTGGATTGCATTTAGGCTATTATTATATTCCCCCATGTTCATGCCCTTGTGCAAGGTATTATGAATACAAAACTAGTTGGTCTGAGCAGTATATAGCTGTGCCCCCCCCTTGTTGGCTGGCCCTAACCAGTTGTGTAATGAGCTGTGTAACCATGAATGGCATAGACATCTGTAGTAACAGCTTTAGCCAGGTTTCAGTTAGTGTAATAATGGACAAATGGCATGCAGTAATTTAGTATGCTAGGAGGTCATCGTCATGCTTGCGTACAGAATCTGATATAGTAATAAAGATAGTTATGTTGTTGTTGGCTCAGAGAAGTGCCCTTGATTGATCTGACAGTGTAGTAATACGTAACTGTTTGATTCAATAAAGGTCATTACTAAGAGGTTGGTATCCGGATCAATGCATGTAATCATAAGTTTAGTATGATCTATGTTAGAATTAAGTAAAAAACAAATAAATAGTCTAAAGCTAAAAATAGCACCTGAGTTATTTCACAAAAGGTAAAAATACTGAGCTAAGGTAGTTTTTTTTTTTTTTAAGCTAAAATAAAGGAGACAATATAAAAGGGACTAATACAATTTAAGTGATGATCAAATAATGGAGCTTGGGAATATGATAGTAGGTAGTACTTTAAAGGTAATTCTTTAAAGTTAGAATTCTAATCTAAAAATTATAATATAAAAGGACTAATTTAAGTGTGTGGGTGAACAATAAAGTGGTAATCAAAAAATGAGCTTTGTAGGAATATAATGGCAAAATAGTGAACATATTACACTTTAGCACCTGAGAATAGCACCTTGATTATTTTAACAGTTGTGAATATATGAACTAAGGTAGTTATATAAAGCTAAAATAAAGGAAAAAATATATAAGGACTAAAATTAAGTTATGGTAATCAAAGTTAAAATGGACAGAAAGTCACTATGAAATAATATTGGTTTAGGGGTAAGAACTGATTTGTAATAATTGAAATACATTGAGCAGTTTATAGCACAATTAAAAAATAAAAAAATGAGGGAGTTGTACAGCTAGCAAAGAGGTTTTTGGTACTTGCAAAAAAGTAATTGGAGTATACAACTATTGCACACACAGATAAAAAGTGACTCAAAAAACAAGTGTGGTAAACCAAATTAAATGGACAGGTAAAACAATGAATAAAATTAATTTGGAGTAAGATCTGACTTGTAACTTAAAATATGAGCAATTAATAGCAGTAAGAAAGAAGTATATTACGTATTTGGAGGTAGTTGGCATTAGCTAGTGATGATAAAATAATAAAAAATAATACTGCACAATATAATAGTAAGGTACACTATATGCACCACACATATATGTATTAAGGGCACCTATCAAATCTGTACAAGAAAATGACACTTTTCTAAGGAAGGTAGAGAAATCAATCATTTGAGATAGTATATTGTTGTCCTGTTGATGTTTTCCTCACTAGTATTTTCCCATCTCGCATGAAACACTGATGTATTTTGTTTTCCTGTTTCAGTTTTCTCAGCCTGAACAGAAGGTTTTGACGTTTTCTTGTTAGACACTCATTTATGTACACTCCATTTTTCACTGTAAATGCTCATTTAATTAGGTCCTTCTTTTATCGTTATGAATGAAGTCGGATCATTTATACAGGGTTTAACTTCCTGGTATTCCTACAAACTATTTCATTGATTTCATTGTTTTGCACGATGACTTGTATGTGGTCCTGTATTATCCTGACAGCAGTTTCTTTGCACTGTGCTTGTTGAAAAAGGAGTTTTATTTTTTGAATGAGAGCATTAAACTCATAAGAGTTATAAGAGGACAATTAGTGATTATTTTGTTATAATTTTTAATTATTATTAATATTACTATTTGTACATCTAGGTATATAACCATTATGACTCTTGCATCTCCCCATGTCACCACATATATCACCATCACTATATATCTTTCACTATCACTATTCATCACATATATCATCATTATATATCTTTCATTATCACTATTCATCACATATATCATCATTATATATCTTTCATTATCACTATTCATCACATATATATCACCATCACTATCTTTCACTATCACTATTCATCACATAACACCATCACTATAAAATCTTCACAATCACAATTCTCACATAACCACCATCACTATATATCTCACTATCACTAACACAATATCACCATCACATAAATACATCTTTCACTATTGCTATTTTCATGCACATATATATCACCATCACTATATATCTTTCACCATCACGTCACACATATATCTCACCATCACTATATGTCTTTCACTCACTATTCATCACATATCAACATCACTATACATCTTTCACTATCACATTTCATCAAAAATATCAGCCATCACTATACATCTTCACTATCAATATTCATCACATATATCACCATCACTATATAACTTCACTATCACTTCATCACAAAATAATCACCATCCCTAAAATCTTTCATTATCACTTCAAACACATAATATATCACCATCACTATATAACATTCACTATCACTTCAACCACAAATATATCACCACATCACTATATAATCTTTCACTATCACTTCATCACCTATATCACCATCACTATAATCTTTCTCTATCACTTCATCCACATATATATCACCATCACTATATATCGTTCACCTAACACTATTCATCACATATATCCACATGAATATACACAAGTGCAAGAACAACAACATTCAAGTGGCTCTATATTCTCATATATTTTATTTTTAATCATTATTGGCTAGACATATATAAATATTATTAGCTGATCCCAAGAGATATAATATCTTCTAAAGGACTTAAGTATGGATCTATACAAAAGAGAATGTACCTCGTGTCTTAGCCCACTTTATTTATTTGATGGTGTATGAGCTTTTTTGACGATTGGGACCAGGATCGGAAGTGAGACCCGCACTCAACTCCAACAGGAGGTCAGGAAGCCTCCTGGCTTGTGAATCATTAGCTGAGAGGATGTGTGGTATCCCTTGGATGGGGATAATTGTAAAATTGTGATAGTATAACCCCCTTAGAGTCCCTGGAATCCAGGAGAGCCCTTGAGGGCACCAGACTCCTTGTCTCTTCTGGGAATCATCTTTAGATGGAACCAAGCCAGCAGGCGATGATTAAGAGTTTCAGGAGATTGTCATCAAGGAGAATTAAGGAGTCCTGCCCATGATAATTCAACCTCCTCAGCAGATGCTGTTTCTTCTGCGGGTCATTGGACAGTCCTAGGGGTACTGTACTTCATTCTGCAATGCATCCGTATGAATATTCGGAAGATACTAATAGTATCCCGCAGTCAGTAACACAGTGGTTGAGTGCTGAGCTGGTACCTGCTACAGCTTAAGATGCTGGTACCCTCAAAGCCCCTCCCAACCCCATTACCTCCCCAACCCCATAACCCTCCCCAACCCTATTACCCTCCCCAAAACCCCATTAACCCTCCTCCCCAACCCCATTACCTCCCTAACCCCATTACCCTCCCCAACCCACCCCATTAGCCCTCCCCAACCCCATTACCTCTCCCCAACCCAATTTCCCTCCCCAACCCCATCACCCATCCCCAACAACCCTACAGGGTATGGAGTTTTTTGTAGCAAGGTACCCACCTTGTGCAGGTACATGACCGTAAAAACGGCTTCTGCAAAAATCCGGACGGTTTATTCCAAATTAACGATGCCAAGAGGAGACAAAGGCCAATCGTGTGTATGTCTTTGCAACATTTAAAATCAGGATTAATAAAAAAACAAGCGCTATGATTGAATGGCCATGTCATCCGGGTCCAAAAGCGAGAAATCCACAAAAAATGGATGTGAAGCCAGCCTACAAGCAAATAGTCCACGATAGCAAAACCCCATATAAAACCAGTCCAGTTGATGGTAACTTTCCCAACATGGACAACCAACTAGTTTCATGGTACTTCCAACACCATGGAAACCCCTAGTTCATGGATCTTCAACACACATGGAAAAAACCACCATTCATGGTACTTCCCAACCATGGAAAACCACCTGTTCATGGTACTTCACAACACCCTAGGAAAAACCACCAGTTCCATGCACTTCCCAAACACCATGGAAAGCCACCAGTTCATGGTACATCCCAACACCAAGGCAAACCACTAGTTAAATGGCACTTCCAACACCGTGGAAAACCACCAGTTCAATGGTAACGTCCAACACCATGGAAAACCACCAGTTCATGGTACTTTCCCAACACCAATGGAAAACCACCAGTTCATGGTACTCCACAACAACATGGAAAAAACCAACCAGTCAAGTTACTGCCACGCACCATGGAAAACCACCAGTTCATGGTACTCCACAACACCATGGAAAACCACCAGTTCATGGTACTTCACAACACCATGGAAAACCACCAGTTCATGGTACTCCACAACACCATGGAAAACCACCAGATCATGTTACTCCCACAACACATCGGCAAACCACCAGTTCATGGTAACTCTCTCCCACAACCACCATGGAAATCCAACATTCATGGTACTACACACAAACACCATGGAAAACCCACCAGTTTTCATGGTGGTGCAAAACTGCAGCAATGGTGAGAACCACCCTCTGCGTCCCGTCCAAGACCACCTCCCAGCTACCAAGTTTAAAATCAACATGAAAGCCACCAGTCCCATACAACTGGTTGATTCCTAAGACTGTATGCATTTCAGTGAAGTGTTTTTTATTTATTTATTTATTTAGTAATTTGAGCATACATACAGAGGTACCAGAAAATACAGGTAAGAGCAGCATGCCAAAGCCAACTTTATATGGCATAGCATTATGGGCTGGCTTAAAATTAACTTAAGATTAAATTAGCAATGATGAAATCAGTGATAAGACATTATTGTAAACAGATAACTATAAAGCAGAAATGAGTATTACAAAGACAGGTCATATGGTTGCATGCATTGCTGTACATTCAGTCGAATGGAGTATTCTGTTTTGTAGTGTTTTTAAAAAATAATAAAGTTAGATTGGGTTTTAGTTTAACATTTATGTGATAAATTTGAGGGAAAAACATTTTAAGATATTCACTTTTCTAAGTTCAGTTATTCATATATATTGGTTTGTTGGGTGAGTAAGTGATCTTTGAGAAGAGACTTTGAATTATAAACAGGTAGTGTTTCTTTTATATTTACAGGTAATGAATTCCAGATTTTAGGGCCTTTTATGTGCATTGAGCTTTTGCATAGCATGAGATGGATACAAGGAACATCAAAGAGTGATCTGTGTCTTGTGTTATGGTCATGTGTTCTGTTGAGGTTGGCAAAGAGATGTTTGAGGGGAGAGTTAATATCAGTTAAGTGTTCTATGTATGTAATAGGTGCAATAATAAGTATGGATGTTTTGTATGGTGAGTAGGTTGAGTGTTTTGAATATTGGTAGTGTGTGCTGCCTGTAGTGAGAATTTGTTATCATTCTAACTGCAGCCTTTTGTTGGGTAATTAGTGGTCTGAGATGCTTAATTTTTGTTGAGCCCCATGCACAAATTCCATAGGTGAGATAGGGGTAAATGAGAGAGTGATATAGGGCCAGGAGGGCTGACTGTGGAGCATAGTACCGTATCTTCGATAGTATGCCTACAGTCTTGGAAATTTTCTTAGAAATTTGTTGTATATGTGTATGAAATTTGAGTCTATTATCAAGGTGGATTCCTAAGAATTTTCCCTCTGTTAGCTTTGTGATAGGTGATCCATTTATCATTATGTTAAAAGGGACATCTGTAGCTCTGTTACCAAACTGAATGAAGTAGGTTTTGTCAATGTTTAGTGTAAGTTTGTTAGTCCTCATCCAGGTAGATATTTTCTGTAATTCGGTATTTACAGTATTGGCTAGCGTGACTGGGCTCGGGTGAGAGAAGACGAATGTAGTGTCATCTGCAAATAGTGTGGGTTTGAGTAATTGCGAAGCATTTGGTAGGTCATTTATGTATAGGAGAAAGAGAAGAGGGCCAAGGACACTTCCCTGTGGGACACCAACTGTAATTGGTTGTGCGGAAGAGTTTGCCCCATTTGTGTACACATATTGGCTTCTGTTGCTGAGGTATGACTTGAGGTAGTTGAGGGAGTGCCCTCTTATACCATAGTGTGACAATTTTACGTGGAGCAAGTCATAGTCAACTTTATCAAAAGCTTTATGTAAGTCAATGAAGATCCCCAGTGGGACTTCTTTTTTCTCTATTGCAGTGTATATATGTTCTAGCATGTGTATAATAGCATCATTAGTATTTTTATTAGGACTGAATCCAAATTGGCAGGGGTTGAGTATGTTTTGGGAGATGAGGTAGGAGTAATTTCGTTGATGAATTAATTTTTCGAAGATTTTTGAGAGAGGGTGTAAGTTGGATATTGGCCTATAGTTATTCAACTCTGTTTGGTCTCCTCCTTTATGGATCGGGGTGACCCTTGGTATTTTGAGAACTGTAGGGAAGGTGGAGGATTCAATGGATTTGTTAAAGAGTGTTGCAATGATTGGTGATAGCACTTGTGACACTTTTTTGTATATAAAGGGTGGTAAGGTATTTAAATCTCCTGCCTTGTTTTTTAGTGCGTTGATAATAAGGGAGACTTCGTATGGGTTAGTCGGAGCTAGGAACAGTGTGTTCGGGTAGTTGCCAGTGAGGTAGTCATTTGGTGGGGTATCTGAGCTTGGGATTTTATTGGCAAGGTTTTGTCCTATAGTGGAGAAGAAATCATTGAGTCTCTTTGCTGTTTCTGTTGGTAGGAGTTGGGGTTCATCTGATTTTGCTAATTTTATTTCGCTATTTCGTGATATCTTTTTTGTTCCCAGAATTTCTGATAGGTTTTCCAGGTCTTTTTTATATCACCTCGTAAGTTGGATAATCTTTCTCATAATACAATTTTTTTGCCCCTTATCAGGGGTGGTTAGGATTGATGAGTAAAGTT